GTTTCTATAAGACACACGAGTCCCTATTATTTCACAGAACTGTTTCATTGTCTCAATAGCAACTGAGGTTAATTGGTCTTCCATCGCCCCGACCTTTGCCTAAATTTTGCAGGCTATGATTACCCTTCGTATGACTTCAGTTCTACGTAATCGGTGCATTAAGTACATAAGTCCACAAACGCCGCATTTATCGGCCCCTTGAATGGTCAGAATTTTAATGATCTATTTTCAGCTGTTGATCTACGCATACCTCACTAGATGCGCTGGTTCTCTACACATATATGTCCGAGCCCATTCCGATCTAAGCTAATTGATTCGGATATCGACATATTTTTCTTACTGATGGCCAGTTTTTTCTTCATCTTTTCGAATCTATAGACAACTGGGCCTTCCTCTACGCACAACGCCTTGCGCTGAAGTTTAAAGTTCCACTGCATGCGTGTTTTTGTATGGTACCACGCTTCCAAGCAGCCACACTCCGTCACTTTACATTCCTGGTTGACGGACTGGCTGAAGTTGAGAAAGTGAGTTTCTTCGCAATGAATATTGTTGGTTTTGTCGTGGTCTGTTTGACCTCCTAACCAACTGACGGTTTAATATGATGGATGTTTTAAGTTCTATTGCATCCGTAATTTCTTTCTGGTTGCCCGTCATGCCCTATTGTTCACAGCCTTCATCCCGGGGTTTCGCATTGTCTAAGTGATTATGCTCATACGGGACATCGCATTTTCTGGACAGTTAGTTAAGCTGCACTCGAATTATTTCTAGTCCAGATTTCGGAAACTGGTTTCAAGGGAGATGAGTAAAAGTTCAAGTGACAGCAGGTAACGAACTTTTAGGTCGTAACTGATCTGTTTTATGCAGAAAAGTTACTTAAAGTTTCAACTTGTAGATATCGATGAATAAAAGGCTCTCACTGATCTCAGTGTAATAATGGTATTTTCCTCAGCTCAGTTCGCGGTCTGGGCCTCCCAAGTAAGCATTTCCGTCAAAAACCACCACCATAGGTGAACAACGTATGTTAGCGCCCAAAACCAGGCCAAAAACACTTGTATAGCTAGTCGTGTATGAAGTGTATGCCTCAACGATATTCTGGAAATTCTGATGCTTTCTAGATGCACCATTGGCAACTGGCGTTCGGCGAATACTGGGCTATGATTAGCTGTTGGGTCCAGACTGTCGACCAATTAGAGCTCGCCTTGACGCCGGACTGGCAAGCGGCTCGAATTTTTGACCAATCTTGTGCGAGATAGGCTTCTCGGCCGTAGAAGCACCTAACTGCGGGCGATGAAGCGGTATCTGTGCGGAATTCCGCCCAACACTTATCTCGACTTTCGTACACAAGGGTGCTTATGTAAGCATTTATCTTGTTATGCACCTGAACGGAAAAGGACCCATATTTTAACAGTTTCGTTTCCAACCATATGAGTAATATAATCATCATAGACTCCCAATCTATTTTATTTGACCTTTTATACGCTACTGCGCATGATAGCTTTCGGTCATCGAGGATACAAAACAGCTCTGTTATTCAGAAGTCACACCTAGAGTCGTTCAAACGTTTTTTTCTAATTAGGCAGATGGCTTGGCCATGTTTAACCTTCTGTTCGGAAATGAAGTTGTTTACGTCTGTCTCATGCTCATACATATACTCATATTATCTGAAATTCCCATGTTTCAGTCCTCAAGTGGTAAAACCTCACAGATTGATGAACGCTCAAAATATCTACATGTCAAATGGTAGACTCAAAGTACACGAACTTCACAATTGATATGCAGCCAAGAAATAACCTTGGCGAAATTATATTCTCCAGATTGTTCTTCTGTCAGCTTGGTAACTGTGGACATTGAACTTGAAATTCACTGGAATTTAGCGAGGCCTGATGGTGTCTTTCATCCATCACCCCGTTTGTTCTTTACTGGGCCCTGATCAGTTATTGTTTTCTGCGGCTTGCGCGGCACCTGGTGCCAACACAAAGCCCAGCATAGCCACTGTAAGATTGGGGAGGCTTAAGACCCTATGGGACATTTAAAGCTCTAGGATTATAAGCACTCGATATCCCATTGGTACATGGAGTTGGGAACAAACGGATTAGGGCGACGAATGCAGTATTGATAACTGGTTCTATGAACAAATGTGTTCACAGGTAGTAGGAAACAAGCAGAATATACATTCACCGGTAGGACAGTGAGTCAATAGGGCTTTCTGGAAGCAAAAAGGAGTAAATACAAGAAGATACACAAACTTACGGATATGGACAGTTGCATAGTTCAAGTAAGTAGTATACAGGGGGAAAACGCGGAAGGCACTTAATTCGTTCGTTCGGTAGTTCCGATTCAAAGGGGGTATGGAAATTATCTGCAATAGCAAGTATCTGGGGCGTTCGGTACGAAAATAAATTTGCCTAAAATGTGGCCAACAGTGCGACAAAGCAACCCATATTAAATTGCGCGCTATTAGGTACGTTTGACATAACCACGCTTCATCAGACAGGACGTAACATAATGATAATAAAGAATGGTCGCTAGGGGAGCCGATTTGAACAACATGCTTGGCTGCCATCCGGGGTTCTCTGGCTTGATCCCCGGTATGGTGGTCGCAGGGAATACAGTCAGACTGGATGTAGTAGTTAATAAACCGCATCTGGAAACGAGAAAGCGACCAAACCTCGGCACCAGCAACCAGAGGGAGCAGAAAAATGATGGCCTAGCGGCAGGGAGCAAGCAAGTGTGGGCCTCACTACTTGTGAGTAGTCCAAATAAACGGGCAAAACAGGGGGCTTAGCTGGGCAATTAACAGCCATGCGGTTCCTCAGGCATGCTATGCGAAAGCGTTGGCACGCTATGTGAGACACGGGTTCACCGCCCAACATGAATAATTTTCAGTATACTTACTATCCGGGATTCGGTTTAGATGTGTCTGCGTCTATCTGAGTCATAGCACTTCTGGTCATCTTGTTGTTCACTGTAAAGCACGCTACTAGTGAATCGACATTCAGTGAATACTCACTGAGCGCTAGCCCTGATTGCAGTGGGTCAGATAGTCGTGTGACCAATGCAATATAATTCGTGGCATCTCTGGCATCTGTTATTGCGACCCGTTTTGACCAAGAAAGCCGAATATACATACAATTTTTACCTCTTAGGCAGCAAAGTACACAGCTAAGTTTTAAGCTTGTAGGGTTTGAATTTTTCGGCAGGGGAATCTTAAAGTCACTAAGGCACAGAGATTCGGAGAAAATTTAGAGGAACCCAAGAAACTCCTACCCTGACAAATGTCACTTGGTCCGGTGTACCAGAACAAACCCAAGAACGTCATGTATCCATTATGCCATGGCTGAAGTATCAGCGATGAAGGGTATATGTCCACTTTGTAGACTCCATATTCAATAATGAGGGTCATTTTGACTTATTTCCTGATTTTCCTGTTTGATGGTCTTGATGTATTCTGGAAATTTCCCGTAACGTAGTTATGCTTGATTTGTGTTGTCACTATCGTATAACGCACAGAAATCACACGAAGTCAGCTCCTACCAAGAACCATGGGACTAACCAGAAGCCTCATAACCATAGAGTCATCTCCTACATGGAGAGAAAACATCCAATAATTTTCACAGTAACGTGCAAAAGTTATCTTGTTAGTCAATCAGAAAATGGAAAGATGTTCGGGTTTTACTAACAATGGATACTTTGGCACCCTGTCTCCATCCCGAATGTTCAAGGACCGAGGGCAGCTATATCTACAAAGTGCCACTCTTATTCTTATTCGCTAGTCACTTTCTAGTCGAGTGTACGCGATCGCCACGGAAAATATTTGCCCTCTTTGCGCCAGCAACTGACAGGATGCAGAAAATGTATGTGGTCATACACTTGCACTTTCATCACTTTCGTCTTTCCATCAATTTTGCGCCTCCTGAAAATATTTGCGCGGCATCAAGATGTACTTTTGCTTCGTTCAGCTACTGATTCCAGGTACCACTTGGGGAATCATGAAGTAACGAACCAGGGCCTTTCGACACCCTGTTTCATCTGTCGCCACTGCTGCTAGCCAGGCAGGCAACGTACGCCCTAGAAAGCGACACGAGACCTTCCTGTGGATGAATCATTCACACGCAGTTGCTACATCTGAATGGCATGATCTTTATGGATCCATGTGTGTGCACTTCCTACCGTTTTTATACCTTATGATCCATAACCCAAGAGCTATCCGTTTACTATCCAACTTCCTGACACACATGGTCCCTTGAAGATTAACCTTATTTCGATATCGTATTGTATTCAGCTGCGCCACAAAGCGGAAGCTTACTTGTGTTATAGTCGTACACCTTCGAATAAAACGACACCATCCTGCTGCGTTATTAACTTGTTCATGTTGGTAGCACATTAGGACAGCTCCAATTTCCTTGCCCGGATTTGATATGGATTGTTAAACGGGCTTTTCGAAATCGTTCCGCCAATTTTCTTTTTGGTCCCACCAGGGAACACGGGTTACTCAATCCAAAACAGTGGTCTTTAGATAAAGGAATTTGTCAACAGCACATCGAGGCGTTGTATTATCGAAAAGGAAACGGGTAAGGATATGCGTTGCCCGAGGGATGGCATGAAACACACTTAAAGTCGGTTGGTGATTGCCGTCTTCATTCCTGTTGTATGCTCAAAATGGTCGAACTTCTGCCCGAGCGTGAACGAAATTCAGCATACTGGTTCGGAATATTACAAAAAATGCGCTGATTTGCCTATCAGCTGGGTTTTTACGGGAGACTCTCTTGTTTATGATATTCTTCAACGGAATTTGCTGCTCACAGGCCGCCTCACTTTTCAATTGGCACGATATTGGAGATATCGCAGTATATTTTCATAAAGGAAACTACTCACATCTTTGCTGAAAACAACTCTTTGATAGCCCACGATTCATCTGCGCGTACCTATTGAGCTCCAAGAAGGGTGAAACCGATTGTGAGCTGTTGAAGAGCTATCAGCTTTCATTAAGAAAAACTATCGAGTGCTCCTTAAATTTCGCATGTGATCAGTCAGTTATTTTACGTCTTTTCTTCCTCTTTACGAATCAGCTATTCTGTTTCCTGATAGCTTGCTTGGGCTGTAGAATAACCACTGCACTGCACTGAGCAACAAATACATCGCAGACAAACGTCATTCAATCATTCAGTTTGACGTAAGAAAACTTATGTAATTAATCAGATTCTCACTTCATTTCAGCCGTCAGTTCACCAGGACACAAGTATTCAAGTTGTTAAAGAACCTGGTGGCTGTGTTTTAGAAGATCCGATTGTTGCGACCAACAATACGCACCACTACCCCCTATGTCTGTAGCTCTTTGGTCCAAAGTACGGGTGGGCGAAACCTTATCTTTTGTTTTTGAGCGATACGGTGAACGCTGAATACCTCTACGTTTGTTGCTTGAATCGATCGGCTGAATTTTTTCAAACTTGACTTGATAGCGCTTTTATTCTAATTCGTCGAGAGTATTTTACTTTGTTCTGTATTTGTTTTTACTTCCACTGACAGGAGTGTTGCGCGCTTCAAATTCCATTTCATCTGATCCTGGCTCATTCTGCATCGTCGAAAATTCCTAGTGGTAATAAGCGTCCATATACTGCCGTGGAAGAATCTGATAACTTTCTCGAGGGTACCGTGGCTGAGACTGTCGTAGATCTCGTTCAACGTCTCCGTATCGGATGTGTTGTGACTGATTTTTGTCCCTTACGGGAACCATCTGCGTGGGTTGAGAGAACGTCGCGTCTTCTACCCAATACCATACCGTTTTGTCAGGTGAGTGTACATCTCGAGCGCCACATAGCTCGGTTGTTAGGTCGCTAAATCACTGATCGGCGGGTCGCACCCCCAACTTCCGGACCGCTGCCATCTGAACTCGGTCATCTTCGTCATTTGTACTCGCGTTATCAACGAGTAAATAATCGCACTTTGTTGCATGTCACCATAATTATATCCTAATCTTTTAAACACCAAGGCAGTAGAAATGAATTCTAGGGGCCAAAGAAGGAGGGATAGGAAATTCTGAGCCCAGAAGCTAGAATGTCGGGTATCAATTATTGTGGGAATCTCACAATCACTCGACCTTCTGTATTGCAAGCTCTGTTCTTCTGATCTGAGGCGCCCTCTGTAGGTTGCAGTCAAGAATTGTATGGTTGTCGCACTCAGTGTTTTCATTTTGGGTGAGGTGGATGTTCGAAGGAAAGGGTTGTAGTTTGACGGGATTCACCTTGGCGTGCAAGCAAGATGCCCACTATCAGTAAGGTCAGCTTCCTGAAAGCAACCACTGAATGCCCGGAATCTACAGAGACTCTCAGCTCCGCTGGGTGTTGACCAGACAGACAACGCCCCCTCAATATGCAGCGCGCCACAGCCTTGCATCAAACCCAGACAGCGCGAGTCAGCGTTGATCAAGGACAGACAACGCCTCCGCAATATGCAGCACGTCGCTGCCTCGTACCAAAGCCAGACCGCGTGCGTCAGCATTGGACCAAGTTCAGACAGTGTCCTTCCAATAAAAACCTTGAGGCCGTTGTACTTTTCGCACTCGCGCTCTCGCAACCACTTTTTTGGAATATAGCTATTGTGTTCCCTTCCGTGAGCCTTTTTCTCTCCGACACTAGGTACTGGAGCGGATCAGCAGCAGATACCACAGGCCGGCGAACCAGCAGATACAACACCCACCTACCAATGAACTGGTAATCTCCCCCTACTACGTGGTTATTGAATAGGAAGAACAGAGCCTGAACATTTTCCGATACATCCTTACTTTTAGGCCCGCTTCGTGCTCCTCACTACGTCTGCATAATGGCCTTTCGGTTTGCCATAGAATCAAATGTGGTGAATTGTCTCGTGTAGGACCGCATGTCATCACCTGCGTCAGTTGGTCTTCTTATTCCTCTGGTCTCGCAAAACCAAGGAAATGATAGCTCCGGGGTAAACACATTTCTTAAGGATTTCAACCTCACATGTTCCGCAGATTTCTCACTTTGGTCGAGTGGCCTGGCTATTCACGATTAGCTGGGGCGCAAGGGCGTGAAAACTGATGCAAAAATGCCTCAGGGGTTTTAACGATCATCCCCTATTCGCTTGGTGTTCGCATAACAATTGTTACTGCCTTTTATTGAGGGACGTGTCCTTCGGTGGAAGTCCTCGTTGATATTCTGTACATTGATCCTGAAATGAATACTTGATTTCCGTTGTTTTCCGATGTTGTGTACCTGACTTGTACTGATGTCAAAGTTGCCTTCTGTCATAATCGTTAACGTTAACAACAACTGGAGATTACTGGTACCGACCGCATACCTCCTATGGGCACTTCCGCACTCACGCCGCCTAACTACATGAGGCCAGACGTTCTACCTCGCCCGTGACTGGTCAATCTGTCCGGTATCACCGTGAACCCTGATCGGTCGGTTATGTATTAAAAGTATGGCCTTATTTAAGTATTGGCTTGGTGCTGTTTACCGATTTCGCGTCCAGAAGACGTCTGGTGGCTTAACAATCAGGGATGTAAGAAAAATACCGCCTCAAGCACCCTTTATTGAGTACACGATGTCCCTCTCTCGCCAGTCGAACGTTTCCACGTAACATTTATCGAGCATAAGGCGGTAGATGTATTCGATCATTTGTGTATCCGCTCCATTGTTCGAACCTTTCACAAGTCTACGACTGGTGTGCGCTTCTGATGTACTAAGAGGAGAGAGGCACTAGTACGGGCGCGCATACGTCTCCCCGCGCATCCATCCTAAACAAAATCGTTTAACCGGAACGCGGCAATTGGGACTGACCATATTCAGCTTTTTTCATTGTTATCACTATCGATTTCTCGATCATGGTTGGTTAACTCGGTTTGAGCCAGTTTGACACGAGACAGGGTGGACTCAAACCTCGGGACTGCCTTCTACTATCCCCTATACCCGAAGCGAAGTGAAGTGCTGTGTATCCGCTTGGTAGCATACAAAGCATTTCAATGGAGTTTTGCGTGTGAGTCGCCATTGATCCTTGCTAATAGAACAGCCGTTGTCTCAGTGTCTACCTAGACAATCCAGCAAATAGGACACACCAGCCGGCGCATTTACAGGGACGGTGATCAGAATCGAATGTCGGCCAGAGACCGTCTAATTTATCTATCTGTTGGGTTCCGAATACCGGCATCTTACTTTCATTCTGCTGATGACCACAAACGAGAACAACTCAATCTAGAGACCTAACAACCTCAACCTGCGACAGAGTGGATTATTCTGGTTCGTCTTCATACTTAGTTGTCAAAGTATAGCATCGCACCGGCACGTTGGCAACCGTAGCTTATTCATCTACAGGTTTATAAGTTGGATCGAATAAGGGTAGATCAGGTAAAAGCGTCGTCTAACGGCGTACCCTCTCAGAGACGGGTTTTTTTCGGCCTCAGATCTAATGTTCTGCATTATGTTTAGCTGGATGCCTGCAGTTTTGACAGGAATTTCAACGGCAAACCCAAAGCGCGGATCATTCTTTATTGAGTGGGCAGCAAGTGTGTTTAACTTGTCCGTTTTTCACTCAACATCAATACTTCTTGCAGTCGACGTTGAGGTTGGTATTTAGCGCTTTTGATCTAATCGATTTTTGCATCCAGCCTGGACCTAGTTGGGTGCACATTTTTGTATATTAGACAAATTGATCCGAACAAGGGTGTGAAATGTAGTCTTTGTCTCTCATTGGGTACAACAGTGTAACAAAGCCGTGCCTCGACGACGAAGCATTCTTGGGCCAAATAGTGGTGGTAAACAATGGCGTGTGCGCGCGCATTTTTGTTAGTTCGGTCGCCAGTACATCTAGGGCTGCTCATTGGTCACGAAACCGCTGGCCGACAACCACAAATTTTTGCGGATTGGGTTAGTTGAGATTCTGTTCTGAATACCACAGCCTTGTTCACAATGAAGTGGACTAAGCTGCTCCTAATCAAGAATGGGTTCTTTGAAAACACCTTGGAAACCATAACTTCATGGGTGTCTGAAAGTGACCACAACGTACACAAACAGAATATATATATATATATATATATATATATATATATATATATATATATATAGCCGGGAAATTACAAGTTGTCCACTACTAAATGCCCTAAGCAGCTGAAGCAAGTATCATTCAGATACGCGACCCCTCTCTTCGCCAGCAACAGAGACCTGTGAAATCCCTGCAATTGACGTTGCTACCAATCTGACCTTCCCACCACTGAGTTGATAGTGCCATCTTCAGTAACAGTCGACATCAGTACACCAGTGGTAATTACTGGTGTGTAACTGCCATACAACAATGAGAGTAACAGAAAGGGGAAGGACGGGACGTGTTTGCTGCAGGTTGATACAGCATCCCAGTCGCCTGAAAAGAGTTCCAGGTGTAGTGCTTGCGGTATTTGCGATGTGTACGACAATACGCCCCAACGAATGATTCTGTTTTGTGGTAACCAGATCGACCATTGCCCGCTCTTGATCACTTATGTACGCACTCACTATCCGATCGCACAACAGCGCCTGTCTACAGGAGCCATTAACCGTTGTGACTGTTTCGGTAACCGGATTTCGCCTACTGGTGTCACAACCCATTTAGTACATAAAAAGGACCTCAGGAAGACTTAAAGAGAAAGATCCGTTTAGCGGTTTTTCGGGTCAGCTATCATCCCGCTGAAGTAAACTTAGTACAACACCAACATACTTCGCTATTTTCCCATAAAGCGTTTCATGTCAACTGTCTATCGTGTATACCGTTCAGCTACGAGTGCCATCTAAGTTTCCCAACTGTTCACGTATGGTTGTCGCCCTTTGAGATGCGTACAGTTCAACAATGGAGAACATCGTGCAGTGCTAGTTGTGGCATCGCCTCCGATTTGTTTGTGTGAAAATTCGGCTTTCCGAAGGCAGTTGTAACGAAATGTCAACTAAAAGCTTACTCCTTGGAATTCTTTCCCCCTAATAAAACCTACCTATTGGTGAACTTCTCTGGCAATTCGTCCGCTTTTCTCAGTGCGTTCTGTAAGCGGGAATCACACGGATTCGACCCAAGCCTCAGTTTAGGATTTGTGGACTTTGTCACTGTATTCATCCACTCATACGATAGAAAATCAATTTATGTATTCGGAAAATCCACAAAGAAATCCAGATAAATTCTTCCCTATGCTGAATAATGGTCATCGGCGGGTGGTAGGAAGACCACTTGAATGGCAGTTCAATCACTTGAGTTGGATAACCTGACCACACTAGCTCACAGTTCATGCTTTCACGCCTTTTGGTAAATGTAAAAGGAAATGTGAACGTCAATTGCCCAAGTCCTTCAGAACCAAAGACTTAGCCCAAAATTCGAGGTTGGACTTTATCCAGCAACATCTTATTATTAAGTACTGACTTCATTCCCTGTGTCCAGAAGCGAGTTGCTCCAAATAACCGCACGTCATGTCGATGGTCAGTATAACAACCCATCGAGTTCGAACATTCAGAGCAAGGCACCCCACACAAAGTTTTTTTAAATCCCTTGATAACGTCAAAGATGCCGTTGCCCTGATTTTTCTTTATCCAAAGCTGGACAGGATGTCAAGGCCCAACACGGGCTGCAATACCGTCTGCGGTACATAGCAACCAGATTTATACCTATCGTCCTTCCCAAGCACTCTTCCCAACGACTCACATTGTGATATAATGCTTTTCCTTGAACTTGCTCAAAGCCTAGCAATATGCGGTCTGATAGCCACTACAGGTCACCCTGAAATTTCCTTTCTGATTGTTCTTATTAACTCCCCGTTTCAGGTGGATGCACACAACGTGATCCCCGTGTGGTTTGCTTCGGACAAACTCGAGTACGCTGCACGAACTATCCGTCGCAAACTGCATGAAAAAGCGACTGGATTGCTGTCGGAGTTCCCCGTACTTATAACCCATCCTTATCCAACCAAGTCGAAGTCCTTAGCACAGGTATCTTTTTCTTGCCAGCTGTCGTTGCTTATCGCATTTTTGTAGGCCTCTCTCTAAGTGGTGATAGTGTGTTACGTTTTTTATTTTGGTGACTGAACGATCGCATCGTACTGATCCACGCACCAAGCCATGCCAAAGCTCGAGGTCAAAAAGTTGATAGTACAGTGCTTTTCTTGCACAAGTGCAAACATTCATCGACTGCAATCTTGAAACCTGGTATCGACTCGCTATCCTTACAGTTCTTTGTGCTTTACTGCACTGCATTTGAATTGCCTGAAATTAGGGGCCTCAAGATTTGTTTCTGCAACGGATTCCCGTTAGTTATGTTAACGAGGAATACTGACATTTGAAGCGACTACCGTATCGACCGGATTTGACAGTATTCCGGTTGTATTTACTTGACAATAGATCGAGGCTATTTTGGAACACCAACTGTCGACGGCTCCAGAAAAGTCATTGTAAATTAGTGAGATGTTGCGTTTGTGGATCCAGGAAGTTGTGTTCTCTGCCTACTCTGTCTGTGTTGAGGTTTGTTCCAGTTCCTTCACCTTGAGTCTTCGGCACGTCCGCTCCGAAATTCCAACCTAACCTCTACATCTCGATTGCGCCTGCCTAAGTTTAGGGAACCCAGTAGTATCTCAATCCTCGTGCTTTCTTCGAGTAACATGATAGCTAGGCATCCAAAAGGATGTTACAGATGAACGAATATTTTATTATTTGTCAGAACTAGTCTATTATTATTTCTATTTTGCGTGTTTTTTCCTCCCCGACTACTTTGCAGTGGTTGAGAGCATTGTCTACAAGGGCATTCTTCTTCCTCCTTTTAGTTCGCATGTTGCTGTAGTTGTCGGCTTAGCGAATGCAACAGTAACGAAACGTTATGCTTCTGGCAATCACGCGCGAACAACCATCTGGATGGCTCATTCTAATAGTTTGCCAATCATTAATCTGAACTTATTCCCCTCGTTTAGTTCACGTGCGAACGTTACCACGAGAACACTGAATGCGAAAAATGATTTGCAGTATTTCGTTTCATTTTCGTTGACAATTGGTGATCGGTCGGTTCAAGAGCAGAAGTTTTGACACAGAGACAGGACTTCTCGGAATTTACGTTTATTAGTGGGTACCCGAGTAGACAGCCGACGAATTATACGCCACACTCGGTTGATTACTGTCGCCCCGTTTTACTCATAGGGTGTGCTGGGGAGCTAATGAATACACGTTTCTTGTTTTGTCTCAAAAAACTAAATTAATTACCTGAAGAATTCTAACTTGAACGTTTGCTGGTATCACGTATCCGTCCGGTCTGTCTTGCACACAGTCAGTGAATTGGGGTGATCTCAAGTCACGCCTTGACGTTGATCACAGCGTTAAACCCGTAGACTGGGCAAAAGGTGGAACCAGAAATGGAATGCAAATCTTGTTCGACTTCATCGCCAAAAGATTGAAGGCTTACGGGACACAAAGAAACGATCCGACTAAGGACGCCCAAAGTGATCTTTCACCATGGTTTCATTTTGGTAAGTACTCTATGAACGACTTCTCGTTAAAAGTGCCCTGTTGGAAACAAACGAGGTCATAGTGAGACCTTTTTAATATTTATCGTTTCACGAAAAAAAACTATTTTTCTTATTCACTGGGCTCCTGCAAATGTTTTGCCCTAGGACAGCCTGTTACGGACGATATGCATTTATTTTATTCGTAAGTACGCTTCATGACGAGTGTGTTCCTCTTGACTTCCCCCTTTATATCTTCATTACAGGTCACATCGCTCCACAGCGCGCTCTGCTCGAGGCTCAGCGTGTTCGTCCTAAAGATCCGAAATCAGCGGACGCGTTCATTGAAGAGGCATTTATTCGCCGAGAATTGTCGGACAACTTCTGTTTCTACAACCCAAACTACGACTCATTAAAAGGTAACTCTTGTATTGTACAACTACACCGATACATTGCCTGGATTGCCATTCGACGACATTGAATTAGGCGTGACTACTAGACGGCTTTATCTACCTGCGCAGAATGCAGGTAAATAAATCCGGTAATGCCGGATTAAACGGCCACGAGGGATCACATTGAGAAAGCAGATCTGTTAAAAAAATCCACGTTTTACACACTCATTTGTAAATCGACTCAACTCGAAACTTAGCCTGTTCAGTTGGGTGTGCTCCCTTCATGCTCCACTTGAAACGATATTATATATATATATATATATATATNACTGCGTTCGCCAACACCGTTAATATTATATATATATATATATATATATATATATATATATATATGGAATTCACATTTTTGGGACTTATCATAAGGATCTAGCCCAAGAGATTGATACTGAGTCATAGCGACCAATACGGTGCATTGGTCGACCAATCTGCCTCATGATGACCTGTGAGTTTACGCATGCATAGAGCCACTGATATGTGGGCTAGTCTACGTGAGTAGTTTTTCGTAAATATAGAACGGCGTCATGACACTTGGTACCGGTCGCCCTGGCGATTGGAACTCCATGAGTCAACTTGCTCTCTCAGTAGTGCACACCCTACTGCACTGTCAAAGGAGACCATGTGACACGTCTAAGCATGGCGCGGCAAACATAAGCTAAAAAAAGTCCACATATTCTCGCCTTTGTGTAGGTCCGTCTGTGGATGCTGCCCTACAGTTCTCACTGTTGAATCGAGTGGTTAGTTAGCATGCTGCGTAGGTCACGTACCAAGGCTACTAGCATTCTTATGAAAAGTCGAGAGTGCGACACTTATTGCAATACAGTTCAAGAACAACGCATCTCTGCACGATGGGGTCTTGAACTTAAATGTGATTTTTTTCATTGTGTTCCGTCCCTAATTGTTTGCATGATCTTCCAGGGGCGTATCAATGGGCCCAGGATACCCTGAAATGCCACTCAAAGGATAAGCGGGACCCTGCCTACACAAGCGAACAATTGGAGGCTGCTCAAACGAAAGACGATTTATGGAACGCCAGCCAACGACAGTTAGTCAGAAGGGGTAAAATCCACGGTTTTCTTCGCATGTACTGGGCTAAAAAGATCCTGGAATGGCACGCAGAAGGCCCCGAGGCCGCGCTACGATTGGCGTTGTACTTAAACGACCATTACAGCCTTGATGGTACTGATCCAAACGGCGTAGTTGGTAAGGTATACTTTTGTCGTTTTCATGTTTGTAATTCATTGTCAACCATTCCGAAACCTTTGTATGATTATGTAAAACGTCATCAGAACATAACATCCCGTGTACTGCTTTCTGGTAAGCCTCAGCAATTCAAGCTGAGAACTCAGGTGATTCGGTTTGAAAGAGTGCGTACAAGGCTACAGGGTTTTCTAAAAATAAACTTCCTGTAGTGACATTTCGTTAAAGTGCTAGAATCCAGTAATCAGGAAGATCACTTGCTCAGCAACCGATGGCAGGCAGGACGGGGGTGCCTGGTGCTAAATGTGAAAGCCTGCATTGATTCTTTTTGGAAGGGTATTGTGATGAGATGTGATAATTCGGTGTTTCTAACTCGAGGAGTAATCGCGCGCTTCTGGCGTGGTCCATTGACATCAGTGTGTCATTTGACTAATAATTACAAGATTGTAGGCGACAATCATATTACTGTGCATTGCCATCAATTCAGAAAGGACCTGTAATCCCCTTTGCGAAATATTTATTCTTAATACGTCAAGTTTACGTACGCAAGGACCTGGCCAGCTTCCTCTCAGAGCCGGATTCAATACTGTAGCGACTTGGGCAACAGGTGTTCTTGTTCTCTTTCGATCGACCTGTTATGCCTCCAAAACACGAACGCAAGACCCCAGTCCGGTCACACTTTAAACCACCACCATCCAAGATTTCTGGGATCCTAATGCAATGGCGCATATCTACGGTATTGGAGTTGTGCTTAGCCAGGGTATTCTGGTGAATAGTTGCCTTTGCGCTGTTCGGCGGGCATGCGTCAAAGCAACCACATTCACTCCTTATGTCGGACATATTAAACTGCTTAGGCTAATGAAATGACTCATTCACCGCGTGGCTCTCAGTCCACTATGCTTTTTTTGATAGACAAATTGTTGCAGCTGGAACCACTGTACTTTGGTATATGGATTTTTGATGAGATACAGGAGAGTACAGAAAGCAATATTCGCACCAACGGACCCTTCGTGATCAGTCAACTTGTGCCGCAGTGCTTGTGATTCTCAAAAGGTATTTTGGGTTGCGGGAATAAATGCAGAAGCACTCAAGCTAACTAGCTCGACCAACCTTTCATACTTAGTTGATAGCAGATCCTAAAACCATTTCAGATAGACATAGTCACCGAGGATTCGAAGTTTAGTGGCACTACGCTGAACGTTTTTGGTATCTGTTACCAATTTTGTTTCATAACCCATCCGCGAGGATGCCGGAGTAAACTGGACAGTCCTGACAATTCGGTCCCACTATGACTCTAACGAGTGGAATATTATTCAGTCTAGACTATACGTGTTTGATAAACAGTGTGTCGTTGTCTTTCTGTTTGTCTCAGGTGTCATGTGGTCAATATGCGGTGTTCATGACCAAGGCTGGGCGGAAAGACCAATATTCGGAAAGATCCGTTGCATGACATACAAAGGATGTCAAGGGAAATTCTCCGTTCCGGCGTTTGTAGTCCGTTACCCTTGAGAGCTTTACGCTCGAGATAATTCGTTGTACATTTTACAAACAATTTCCAGAAGTTTCTAATTCCCGCATTTATGACTTATTGTCCTCAGGAATTTTGTACCTTTGATGTTTCATAATACATTAAAACAAATTATTCTCATTCAAATCTATTTAATCGGTAAAAGTGTGAATGAGCAGACAGACCAAATACGAATCTCGGGTGTGGTCACACTCCCCAGCCAGAGATAAATGCAGCAGGAGTTAAATAAACTCTTGCTTTGAAAGCACATGGCAGCCACAAACAACGTTGGCGGCAACCAAGTATGAATGGCTGTCACGGCGCTAGCGATGTGAGGGAAAGATGAAATCAGGAAGGCAGTCCGTTTCCTGGGAACGGCACGCTGTAAGTCTTACTGTATTAATTACAAAAGAGAAACGGGTGGAAATGTCTGGTCAACAACTGTCGAGTTCAGATATGGAATACATCTCCGTGGAGAGTGGATACGAGATCGAATTCAACCTACGAACCCCACCAATCCTTGTCCCTCGATGGGACGGTTGTGGAATTGTCGTAGTACAGATTGTCATCAGGCTGCATACCATAGTCGCGTGACATACCACCACCGAAGCGATTGGATATTCCGCTGCCGTATCCGCCGCTGCTACTGCCGCCACGGGTCGCAGGCTGTCGATAATCTCTTGCGCCGAAGCCGCCACCCCTGAGAAATAGAGTATTCATTAAAAAGATAAACTGAATAGTTGGCTGTTCCTGTGACAAACGTAAAAAGACGTCTTTGAGAAAACTGACGAACACGGTCAAGCCCATTCAAGGAGACTTGAAGCGACTCAGGCTTACCTTCCCTTATTACGTGTTCGCGGAAAGCCGCTCTGACGACTATCTGTAACTAGGGCGCGTAACCATGATGGCACTGACTGGTTCACCTCTTCTAGCAACTCCACGAGACCCCGTGCAAGATTCCGATTTTTGTCATTGAAGAACGAGGTGGCGATACCAAGATTGCCGACACGACCGGTTCGACCAATTCGGTGTACATATTCCTCTATGTCAGACGGGAGGTCGTAATTGATCACATGCTGAAAAGGAAACAACAGCTCGGGCATCACGGTTGAACTCGGCCTTCGCAACGAGCGTCGCTCTCTGCGTTTCAGTCATAAGATTGAATAAAAAAATGAAGAAACGGAGCTTTCGCTCGATGACGAGGAAAATAACTGAATAGAGGACATAATCGTTAACTTTGTAGACCAACGAACGCCATTCGGTTTCGATCTTGGTTCGGAACAATGGTTAAAATGTTACGGTCTTTAGTTCACCCCAGTTTTAGCATCGAAGTGCAGTGGTTCCAGATAGTACAGTTTTGTTCACCGAGGATAAGGAAAACAAGGGAATGAGAGCTATGCGGTGAAGGCGATTGTCCAATCAGTTCTTTGATGTTGAATGCTTGTTTCATATGACGCGGACTGAGTGCCACGCACTAAGGCGGTAGTTTTGATGCAAAACCGTCATTGGTTGCGTGTGACAGCCATATATGTCAGGTTATCCCCCGGGAAGACCGCAGTTACCAGCGCAATTGAATTGTCTGTTAAGGGCTTATATAATTCGTTGCCAAGTCATGGACTCACCGCATCTGGATCGTCTCCATCCGAAGGGGGTAAATGGTCCCCTGCCGCAAGCCAGCTATCTCGCCCAAGTTCCTTTCAGTATTGCTCACTGGGCAGAGGAACGGAAAACAGCCTACGTACGTTTGGAGTGCAATGAACGCAATCAATGGGGTTTGTAGCAGTACGAGTAGGACGTGGATTTCTGGGTTTGGAACCAGTAACACTGAAACGATGTTTCATTTTGGTGTGCTCAAATGATTTATCCATCCTGTTGCGTTAACTCGCCGAGCACACTACAACAGCGGGGGCGATGATAATGACAGTAAGTGTGCCGATATTTATCAAGATGATACCTGGTGCGCCACCTACTTACCGAAGAAGCTACATTCAGAGCAGATGCCCTGAGTTTACGGATAGCACCAATAACACCGGATACATTCGTGCCGAAACGCCATAGAGCCAATCTCAAAAATAGCGATAAGCGTCTACTGTTTGAACCCTTAAACCCCGAAAGAAGTTGAAGTGCGCAGAGTTAGGTGCAGCGACCAAGAGCGAAACATGAATGTTTGAGACCCGAATAGACAGGAAACACTAGAGTCAGCAGTTGACTAACTCCCATACACTACCAGCCGAAAATCAGTTTACCAGAGCAGAGATGAGCTGATCATCTGCGCCGCGTTATTGCACGAATGGGTCATATAGAAGTTTGGTTCTATTAACCTTTCACGGACGTTAGCACCACGAAAGTGCTATCATCAGATCACAAGCCTCATTACCCCAGCCATCAATGTTGACAGTGATGTTTTACTGCCGTACAACTACAAAGTTCAGTTATAGTTTAAAACCTTAAGATGGAAGGTTTGGATAAGAGAGGGCCTGACGCTAGTCTATCACAAGCAATCTGGAATACCCACACCTCAAAGCACTTACACGCCGTTTACAATGTTGGACTAGATAGAATAACGACTCGTATCGGTTGCGATCGGTAATGAGAACCGGCTAACGATATGTAGAGGGTAAGGGAATCGACGTATTGAAATCCTTCATGATCTGAAGTTGGAGGTAACGCGGGTCCCAGTAAACGACCGATCGTGAACTACAGTCTATGGACTAAAAACGTAGGAAAGGCAACACAGGAGATGACATCTGGTCAAAACATTCGAGGTTCGCTAACTTACCCCAGCAATGGAGTCGGCGATCTAGGTAAATGGGATCCGGTTGTATTGCTGTTCACGTGATGGTGTTCGTTAGTGCAGTTAGTTCTTTTTTTGCGCTGTCATATCGGCTTAGTGAATTACTACGCCTTGACATCATATACCAAAGTACATGCCGAAGAAAAGCACATCAACCATTGTAGCCACATCCGGCTTCCATTGAAAAGTTCAGAAATAGAAGCGGACAGCGCTCCCTAAAAGCACGGCGCTCCCAGATTTATCGTTCTGTTGAGTAAAAGTGGCACCCCCGTTATGCAGATAAACATTTTCAACCCACCGTCGTCCAGGATAATACGCGCGGACGCCCGCTCTGGAATCGGTCTCCCTTGCTCAATTGTGTGCGATTCTTATTGTCGAGGGCACTCCTGAGTGCTTCTAACGGTGTGCTTTTGCGCGGAAATTTGTTGTGGATGATGGTAAAGATCCTGGTGATCTCTGATATCACATCACTTAGAAAGTCTATGAAAACTCTGACGAAAACCGTAGGGTTTTATTAATGGGTGTGGTTACTCAGTGCGACTTCGGCCACAAACCGAACCGGAATCAGAATTTGAATGCTCTTCCTCAACACTAGTGTGCACCTAATGGATAACAAACATGACTGCTTAGACTGTGATACGTCAAGCTGCCGTCGTGCGTCAGTCAGCACCTGAAAAGAGCAGGGCCTCTGCTTCCTCTACCCGCTTACGCAGCGATACGAAGACTAATGCGTACTCACCCAACTCAGTAGTTGAGCTGCGTCAAGGACGGATGGTAAAAAAAGAAAGATGATATTTAAGGGTGTTAGTGATTCAAGCCGACCTAAGCTCTCCGGGATACTGAGGAGTGCCGCAGTACCTTAACAGACTTCTAATCAGTTCCATGAACACCAGCTGGCCTGCAGTGAATATAGCGTATCAGATAAAAATGAAGCGATCAATTAACGTCCTTGGGTCTACAGGAGATACCACAGACAGACTATTGCTCGAAAAGCAGGAGACGACAAGCTTACGGTGTCAAGACCTTGGGGAACACGTCTCAAAAAGGAAGAATTAGTACCCTATTGTGGGAACGAGGCTTCGCCCGACCGAATTCGTTGTGAGCATAGGTTTTTGCAAAGCCCTACCCAACCGCTTGATCGCTGGAGTTATTGAAACACACTTACCTGAGGAACAGTGTGGCTTCTGTGCTAGACACTGGATCTGATTCCCATTGCCCGATCGCTCCCGCGCACAATGCTCATTTCTATGCTTCCTCTTTGTGTGCTTCATTAAGACCGTCTGTTTTGCCAAAAGAGTAATATTGATAGTTCATGTCGGCCGACCGCCAAACCTCGCAAATTCTACTCGAAGCTAACATGATGGAGTGTAATCAAAAAACCTATGGATCAGTTTGGCGGTTTTGAACACATCATGAACATCAAACCCTAGCTGACTTCGCGACGCCACTGCAGTTTGGTATGTACGTCAGCGTTTATAAAGCTTCCGTTACGCAACAAGCGCACGAAGATTACCGTACTTTGAGATCGCTAATAGTCTGCGTTAGCTGAAGTCTCGTTTTGCCAGCTGTAGTGTGACTCACAATCTAGAGGAAACTGGGTCTGTGGCTGTAGATCACGCTGTAGATTAATAGGGCGATAACCATGCACGGCAGTGAAACGCAAAGTTGACCAACCCTTCAGCATGGACTTAGAACCTACAAAGTGTAAAATCACACTGCTACCTGGCAGATCGCCATGTATTACGTATGTGAACAGGGTTGTTTGCTGGGCCTGATTCGGAATGGCGGGAACCTATTGGTGGACAGAATATAACACAACAGAAGGGAATAAAAGATGTTGCGAAAGGTTGGGGTATCGCCGGTACTGTTCGCTTTCATGGATGAGGTTCACGTGACCATAAGGCAGTTCGATGAGGTGGTTAACCGACGTCAGTGGGGTGCGGTTATGCAGTCAATTTTTATCCACATTGTCTCATTGTGCTGGAGATGAAGGCTGGCACAAGATCCCTAACACGATTTTTTTCCTGTCATGGCGCTTTATTCAAACAAACTGAGATGGCTATGGCATCAGTGTTCCCCGCTGATGATGCCGTCAATGATTATGTTGAGTTGGTGTGATAGTTGACACTTGATCAGCTGCCATATTCAGTACGTAACTCAGCTACATGGTATTCTTTGGACTAAAAGAGCACTAGACAGAGGCCCTCTGATGGACGCGTTGCTTCTAAAAGTCATTGCACAAAATAATCGGTCGTACCATGAGAGAAACCCCTTTGAGGTTAGCTTCGGACAACCGACATTCAAGCTCAGTCACCTACGCTAAGAGACACTGGTATTAAACACTGATGTGCAGTCAAGGATGACGATGAGTGGTTCGCCCCTCAATAGAGACCCCTTTAGAGGTCGACTCACGTGTGGAACTAAAATGAACTAGAAATGTTGTATAAACAGGGACAAGAATGCGAAAGTGTGCATTGTGAACCCAAGTACAACATACTGACTCACCTTAACATTCGGAATATCTAAACCACGCGCAGCTACGGCAGTTGCAACGAGGATTGGTGTACGTCCGGTTCGAAAACATTCAAGTGCGAGTTCTCGATCATCTTGTGACCGGTCTCCATGAATACTTGCTACTTGGAACTTCTGAGCAAAGAGATAATCCTCTAAGGAGTCTGCCCCTCGCTTCGTCTCGACAAAGACCAAAGTTAGGACACCAGGGTCTGGAAGTAATCTTTACTGTGATAGGAACAGGACGAACCAGAGCTGGACAGCAGGTCAACCAGAGCATCGCGTTTGGTGCTTTCTTCTACCCACAGTATTGACTGTGTTATGTTTTCACTGGTACTGCCGACACGACCCACAGCCAGAAAAATATATCTGCTCAGGAAATCTTTGGCAAGCACCTACACCAAATTCTGTATCAGAAACATAGACTTACTTGTATTTCATGTGGAAAAGTTGCAGAAAACATCAATGTCTGTCGTGTGCCGGATGGTGGTAAATTATCCTGTTCCACGATGCGGCGGATCTGGGGTTCAAAACCCATATCCAGCATGCGATCGGCTTCGTCAAGAACTAGGAACCTGAAGGCACTCAAAAAAGCCAATGAACAACCCACCGACAATGGTCTAGTCCTATTCGTCCACGTTCAATCACATCCGTCAATCGACCCGGAGTTGCCACAAGCAGGTTACATCCTTTGGAAACTTCTATCAGCTGAGCACGCATATCGGCGCCGCCATACAGTACGCACGGTCTGATACACGAACGATAGGCAAATTTTCTGGCGTCATCGAATATCTGTGATGCAAGTTCTCGTGTAGGAGCCAATATCAGACCGACAGGGAATTGTTTCCGCCTGTTTGTTTCGAGCTAAGAAATGAAATGAATATTGCGAAACAAACTCGAACATACCGCAGCGTTCAACGAGTCACCAGGCCCCTCTTCAATCATTCTGTTAAGAATAGGGATCAAGAAGGCTGCAGTCTTCCCAGAACCGGTTTGTGCGCAAGCCATCAGGTCACGACCGCTGGCAATAATAGGGATTGCATGTTTCTGGACTGGTGTGGGACGATTGTACTGAGCCAGTTCTACATTACTCCGTATGATTCTATGAAGCGCGAGGTCTGAGAAGGAAGAAATAGCAGAGGCTTCGTCATTGAAGTCTGGTCCAGTAGCACTAACAGGAATATTGTCATACTGGTCAAAATTGATGCCCGTGCTGATCTTCTTAAATAGTTCTTGCTCTAATCTCTCATTCGGTGGAAGTTGTTTGGACCAATCTTCCGTTGTCTCGTTTCCCCAGCTTCTGCCACCACTTCTAGAACCGTAGGAGCCTGGACCACTACCCCTGGAATTGTACCTAGATGAAAGCGTCAGAAAGCTGGTTGCTAAAAACTTACTGTCCTCCATTGAAATTAGACCACCGGTTTTCATTTTGTCCCCGATCAAAAGTTGACCCGCGGTTGCTGAAGCCACCGCGGTTACCCCTGCCGCGATAAATGTCACCTCCAGCGCCCCGAGAGTATCGCGGGCCCTGATAGTTATCACAGGAAGATGTGGCGTATGAACCATTTGACATGGCACCTCGGTTGCGCAGATGTGGAGGAACGTAGACATGAGACCCAGCCGACTGGTCGGCATGATCTTTGGAAATGTTCAGAGAGGAGAACTGGGAGAAAGAAGCAAGTGTGAAACATTTGAATACGTGTCGAAAAGTAATAGGGTTAGGTTATTTGTCTGAGTAGTGAAACGATTCGAAACAGAAAATTATAACGTGAACACCCCTTATGGGACTGACTAACGAAAATTAGAATGGATTCGATTCTACGGGAACACACTAGAAACGATTTTTCGTCCTCAAAAGAAGACATAAATTTTTTAAAATGATTATCTGTAAATGATTGCCTTCGCTGCAGCTCTTAAGCGAGAATACCCGAATTCACTACCACCCTATCATAAAAAGAGAGCAGAAACCGGGAACTCAGTACACAGTGGCTGATGTTACCTCATTGTACCGCAGCTAATAATAGAGAGCTGTCGCAAATCAATGACCTGTGCACTTGACTTGCTGAGCTCTGCTGATGGGTAACGTTATGAAGCCTGCAGTTTGAACAGCGGATTCAGCCATAATGGGGGAGGGGACAAGAAAGCTCAGTGGTTAGAGCGCCAATTTACTGACCGGAAGGTCCGTGGTTCGAACCCGACATCTGTATCTCGACTTCTGTCTATACTTGGGCACCTGACAGTACCCCAGGCCTCGTGCTTCCTTCAGGTGGCTTAGCAGCTAGGAACCGTAAGGGTGCTAGAGCTGAAAATTTTTTACAGCCGAGTAGAAGGCCGGAACATGTACGATTTTGTTCATTAAAAGCTCACACCACTATAGTGTGGCGGTACATACTTTCTTATGGTTGGGATTTCTGGCCCTTGGATGACATGCATGGTCGCCGCTCCACAATTGTAAGGCATCCCGGCGGTAATCAAGCCGATACTTATTTTGAACCCTAACAAGTAAGATCACCACGCCACACCGGTCATCGCCAGGCTGCATCGATCGGCTCGCCTTGCCAGGTGTATATAGCAAGGCGAATAGAAGCGACTTCCAATTACTCGCCACACAATCAGCTTCGCATATCTCAAAACATAACATCAGGCACACGCAGTATTTTTCGCTCGATGGATCCGCGCCGAATTTGCCTACGGTGCTTACCATTCCTTCTTCTATAGACACTGCGTAAGGACACCGAGCGGAAGCAGTTTCGGTTTGCTGGTTCTAACCTACCGTAAGCAGTTCGACTTATCTACACCTACAATGCTGGGGCAGATAATCTGGAAGGGAGCAGACAACAGCTTAAATGACACTAAATACATGTTTTTCATTTGTTCGAGTGAAGCTTTGTACTGAGAAGCCTGCTTCAGGGGTTACCGCCCAATCCTTATGGCAGATATTTCCAACCGGTACCCATCGATGCGGTTTAAATCGAGTACAACGTACGGCAGTGAAGCATCAGTGCCAACACTGTTGCTGTCTTTGATGATGATGATGTTTGCTATTGGTTCGGTGAGGTTTTCACCGTCTTAACTTTGCTTACTGGAACAGAGGATGACTGCCGAATGAAATACTGTTTCACCACCGCGTGAATTAATAGACGGCTTTGGTTGCGTCGAATCATCTGATAGGCTTGAGATATACACATGCAATCGTCATTACGATCACCTAAGAGCTACAGCTCTACGATAGAAACTTAGGTTACGCCAACACGTGGCGCAATACCATTTGCAATAGGAGCAAACCGTATCAGTACCATCACAATCATCACAATAAAAGTGACAGTAAAACAAAAACGGTTTTAAACCGTACGTCAGTCGTAGCTGTCACGGTTTTATTCGGTGATGAAACTGAAAACACAGATAAAGCTACACCACACATTGTGATTGTGGAAATGACGGCGTTACTAACAGATGTGGAGATCAAGGAGAGCATAGCTGCACATCTGGCAGCTTTCAGCTTTGAGGGCATCACACTAGGGCTCTTATTCGGCGAGCGGCAAGCGGGATTGAGATTGTTGGTAACTGCCTGCGGCTTTCCTCCAAGTCGGTATCCGACCACCATTAACATTGTTCCGCTCAGCGCCTCGTTGAAAAAGAATTTCCAAAGAAGGTGACTATGTTCACAATGGCGTAACGAGGAACGGCTTCATCAAATCTCTGTGCGTGCGGTCATGGAAAAGGCAGACTACTTTAACTCAAACAACCAAAGTAGCCTCAATCAAACCAGCCAGTCGTAATCGGGAATGAATGGATAACATTTTCGGAGGTAATTTTAACCGCAGCGCATAAAAAGGTCAATCGGAAACGGAAATAGCCACACAGTACAGCACACCACTGCCATCAAAAACAGCAACATCAATCAATGTTAACACTGATGCTATACTGCCGTACAGCAATAAGGTTCGTCTATATATATATATATATATATATATATATGAAAAGAGAAAGAGTGGGTGAAGAAGGGTATATATATATATATATAATTATAATAAAAGCCCTAGTGTGAAAAGAAGAGAAAAAGAGTGGGTCAGGGAGGGGACCTAGTGCAGGCCTATGTCAAGCATTCTGAGGTGCCTATACCACCAACCGCTCAACCAATAGCATACCAGAGGACAGGATGACTTTGGTCAGTTCATTTCGAACATGAGAAGGATGTTGTCTCCATATCCCAGATAGACAACGTTTTCGTCACAGGCTATCTGAACACCAGGGTTTTGGAGACTTTCCAGGGTTCGTCTCATGATTCCATCGACCATTAATTTAAAAATGGGTGGAGAGAGTGGGCATCACTGACGGACACCATTTTGTGTACGGAAGCTCCTGGGAAACACCGTATACTCTCACACGTCCGGAAGTCCGAGAATACAAAAAGCCTATTATGTTCAAGAACTTCCAGGGTATTCCTTAGTGGGCAAAAGTGTCAAGCAGGACAGACTGGTCAACCGAGTCAAATTCGCTTTGGAAATTCAAGAACACTATAATTGTGGGTCTCTTCTACGTATGTTGTTGTTTTAGCACCTGACGGAGTGTGAAGATTTGGTCAAGGTAATCCCTACTAGGTCGGAATCCCGCTTGCTACACTTGAGTCAGTGTCCCACGAGTCACCGTAAGGCGACGAAGCACAGGTGACGCCGACTGTCTCGTTACGACCGGGGTCAAGCTGACTCCTCTGAGGTTACCACACCCCATACGAGCCCCTTTTTTGAAAATGGGCACTATCACCGACTCTCCCCAGTTGTCTGAGACGACTCCCTTTCCCAAATACAAACAAAGAGGTCAGACAAGCGCTGACTGAGGACTTCACCCCCATCTTTGGACAATGCGGGTGGGTCATTCGGACCATAGGCTCGGTGGCGTTTAAAAGAACATACGTAATCATAAACCTCCGAGGCCGTAGGCAGTTCCACACTCGCCATCCAAGGTTCTACGTCACATGTGGGTTCCGGGTGGGTGCCAGCTGGTATCCATGACAATTGTTGTTCAAGGTTCAAAGCCCAACGGTTGAGGAGCTCTTGTTTATCCGAGATGGCCAATCCCTCCCGATCCTTGATGGTTTCGCTCACAGGTGGTTTTCGAGGACCCGTTGCACGGATCAGTTGAAATAATCTCCGGGCCTTACGAGCTTTTTGGACCTCTTTCGTTTCTTTAGCTTTGTGTCCACCACATTTCACGGTCGACTTGCACACTCACATCCACTTGACGTCGCATCAAGTTATGTTCCAGGACGGCTGGGATATTTTTTCTCCGTTAAATCTGATATCCAGTGCTTGAGTGCGCGTGGTGGTGCTTGCCACGGGCAAAATTCCCAGCACTATGCAAAGAGGTGGCAATTTCGTCCCAGTATGAGTTCACATATGATGGTGGAGCATTTGGAAGAGACTCTAGAAGACAATTTTTGCAAGTAAGAAGCAACTCCGGACGAGCGCGTGATCAGAGTCCACAAATGTGTTCCAAAACGACCGGCAGTCAATTACTGATCAGTGCCATCGGTAATTGATGGTAATGTGGTCGATTTGAGTTTGTGACCGGCCTGCCGTTGGAGGACACTAAATGGCCACACGATTTCGGAAGTTATTACTGCATTAAAACAGCCTGTGGTCAGCACACAGCTGAAGCAATCGTTCCCCATTTTCCGTACGTACCGAGTCCAGTCCATGTCGACCTCCTAATTGAGTCTCAGATGCACTAAGCCTGCCCACTTGCGCATTCATATCTCCGACAACCACCACAATGTCTGAGCTTTTAGCTCGCCGCAGCAGGGCACTCAGGGCGTCG